AACATCAACAAGTGGCCATTAATTTCTTTAATTTGTGTGAATAAGAGACTTGGTAGTCTCCCTTTTCTATGCCTATATAAGCTCATTCCTGAGCATTGTAAACACAGATTGTATTCCAATTTTAATCAAAGTGATTCACTTGTGTGTTTCATTCCAAATTCCTAATCCTATATCTCAAGAGTGGTTCTCTTGAGTGTGAGTTTTAAGTTCTAGTTATTTAAGTAAGTGTGTAATATCTTATTTAAATGCTAGATTCAACCCCAAGTTAAGATAAGGGTGTGTAATATCCCTTAACACCAATTTGGTTTGTTTTTCCTTCACAAAGAAATACCTTGTTCCTGTCTCGAGATGTCAAATAATCGATTATCCCTACTGGAAATCGATTATCTATCCTTCGTGAAACAACTGCAGCCTTCAATAGTCGATTATCACTCTCATACAATCGGTTATCAGCCTTTCCCAGAAAATCTGCCATCTTCAATAATCGATTAACACGCCCTGTAAATCGATTATCCCTCCTCCCAGACAATCCCTAGAAAATTACCCAAGAAACTGAAGCCCCTAATAGTCGATTATCAGTCTCCAATAATCGATTATCAGCCTTTCCCAGAAAAACCTGTCATCCTCAATAATCGATTGACACCTCGTGTAAATCGATTATCTCCCCTCCCAGAAAATCCCCAGAAAATTGCCCCAGAAACTGAAGCCCCTGATAATCGATTATCCACTTTGGACAATCGATTATTTCTTCCCTGTTCTTAACAAGATAGTTCCTTTAAAAAACCTGATCTTGGGTATAACAATGCTAAAGGCCTTTGTTACAATTGTGATATTGGGGGATGACGACAATGAGGTTCCGGACGCCGTTGAAGCATCGGAGGCGGTTATTGCTGCCAACATTTCTAGTCTGCACAGTCTTACAGGGGTCTCTTCACTGCGTTCATTGTGATTGGAGGGGAATCTGAGCACCCATACAGTGCAAGTTCTTATTGACGGGGGAAGTACCCATAATTTCGTACACCCAAACCTTGTCGCCAAAGCACAGTTGCCGGTCTCTGCCATGCCACCTTTCCGCGTATATGTGGGTAACGGTGATTATTTATTGTGTGATAAACAATGTGACGATGTTCCGCTCGACTTGCAAGGGACAATTTTTTCCGTTAACCTTTTTGTTTTGCCTATTCACGGACACGATGTCGTATTGGGCGTTCAATGGCTTCAAGGATTGGGCCGCGTCACACATGATTACGCGGCGTTGACGATGGAGTTTCGTTGGAAGGATAAATCTGTGGTCCTCCAGGGAGGGTTTCCTCCGCCGAAAACAGTTTCTCTCAATAGCCTTCAGGCACTGCATGATTCTTCACATGTGGTAGCATATTTTGAGTTACTGTATTTGGAAAAAAGTGGGACACATGATGGTTCTACACAGCACACTCCAGCCACAATCGAGGAAATGAGCAGCGATTGCCCTGGGCCTGTGCGGGAGGTTTTGCAGGCGTTTAAGGGGGTGTTTGAGTTGCCCACGAGTTTACCACCACCACGAACGGCGGATCATCGTATCTTTCTACAACCGGGTGTTGCACCGGTGAACGTACGGCCGTACTGTTATCCTCATTATCAAAAGTCTGAAATTGAAAGAACAATTAAGGAAATGCTTGACCAGGGGTTAATCAGACCGAGCCGTAGCCCGTTTTCTTCTCCGGTGCTATTAGTTAAGAAGAAAGACGGTATGTTTCGTTTGTGTGTGGATTATCGGGTATTGAATGCGATCACGGTTCCGGACCATTTTCCGATCCCCACGGCGGATGAATTATTTGACGAATTGGGATAGGCTCGTTGTTTCACCAAGTTAGATCTCCGCTCGGGTTATCATCAAATTCATATGCATGATAGAGATGTATACAAGACGGCGTTTCGCACCCACGAGGGCCACTATGAGTTCCTTGTGATGCCTTTCGGTTTAACAAATGCTCCGTCTACCTTTCAAGCTTGTATGAATAGTCTCTTCGGGCCCTATTTGCCTAAGTTTGTAATTGTTTTCTTTGATGACATCTTGATTTATAGCAACACTGTCACGGCTCATGCTTCGCACCTGCGCACCGTTTTGTTGCTCCTGCACCACCAGACATTTTTTGTGAAGTACTCCAAATGTTCGTTTTGTCAATCTTCTATTGAATACTTGGGGCATATTATCGCCGATGGGCAGCTCCAGGCCGATAACTCCAAAATTGTGGCAATGGTGGCCTGGCCTCGTCCTACAAATTTACGTCAATTACGGGGGTTCTTGGGACTCACGGGCTATTATCGATGGTTTGTCCGTCAATATTCTCACCTGGCAGCCCCCCTCAAAGATTTGTTGAAACGGGATGCATTTGCATGGACGGAGGCTGCCCAAGCCGCATTTGATGGCCTCAAACGTGCGATGTCTTCAACGCCGGTATTGCGCCTTCCAGATTTTTCTTTATTATTTGTTGTGGAGACGGATGCTAGTTCCACCGGC